CTGCAGGCAGCTAGAAGAGCCAACTGACCTACAGAGGCAGAGCCATTAGGATCACAGCTGACTTTTCAACTGAAACCTTCTAAGCCAGAAGAGCATGGTTATCCACCCCCAACATTTGTAAACAAAACAATTTTCAGCCCAGAATTCTGTAACCTACTAAGCTAAGCTTCAAAATTGATGGAGAAATCAAATATTTGGGAGGATATACAAGCACTGAGGAAATTAGCCACGATAAGACTAGTGCTACAGGAAATACTCAGACCTATTCTTAACACTGACCACCACAATGGGCCACCAACAAAGTAAACACCCAGAAGCTAAAGGTCAAAACATAGCTTCCACATTGGGCCAAAGGATAAAACTACACAATGGACTTACACAAAATAAGATGAACAGAACTCCACCACACTTATCAATTCTCTGAATAAATGTCAATGGACTGAACTTACCACTGAAGAGGCACAAGCTGGCTGATTGGATGAAAAAGCACAAGCCATCCATATGCTGTTTCCATCTCTTAATACTGTTAAGAGATGGAAAACAGTGTTTGTTTTGTTTCTGTTTAGACAAAACAGGTCCTCTAAACAGAAACAAAACAAAGATATAAAGGACTTAAATGTGACCCTAGAACAAATATGATTAATAGGCATACAGAACACACCATCCCAAAGCTAAGGAATGTACATTTTTCTTGTCAGCCCATGGTACGTACTCCAAAATCGACGACCACATCCTAGGATATAAATCAAACCTCAGAAAAATTAAAAGAATAGAAATTACACCTTGTATCTTCTCAGACCACAAGGTAATAAAGGTGGAACTCAACTCCAACAAAAACGTTCATCCACACATAATGACTTGGAAATTAAATAATCTTATGCCGAATGATAGTTGAGTTCAACTATCATAGTTGAATAGATGAAGGAGGAAATTGTTAAATTCCTCAAAACAACCAGAGAGAACATCAACAAACTCATGTACCATCTTATGGAATTGGAAAAAGAACAATCTAATCACAAACCCAGCAGAACAAAAGAAATAACCAAAATTAAATCACAGATGAATGAAATTGAAAACAAAAGAATCATTCAGAAAATTAACAAAACAAAAAGTTGATTTTTTGAAAAAATAAATAAAATTGATAAAACTTTGGCCAGATTAACTAGAAACAGAAAAGTAAAATCTCTAATAACCTCAATCAGAAACCATAAAGGGGACATAATAACAAATGCCACAGAAGTAAAAGAGATCATCTCTGAGTACTACAAGAAATTCTATGCCCCAAATTTGACAATGTGGAGAAAATGGATCAATACTTGGAATCACATCCTCTCCTTAGACTTAGCCAGGAAGAGATAGGTTTCTTGAACAAACCAATTTCTTTTCTTTTCTTTTCTTTTCTTTTTTTTTTTTTGAGACAGAGCCTCAAGCTGTCACCCTGGGTAGAGTGCCCTGGCATCAAAGCTCACAGCAACCTCCAACTCCTGGGCTCAAGTGAGTCTCCTGCCTCAGCCTCCCAAGTAGCTGGGACCACAGGTGCCCGCCACAATCCCTGGCTATTTTTTTGGTTGCAGCTGTCATCACTGTTTTTGGTGGGCAGGGCTGGATTCGAACCCACCACCTTAGGTTTATGTGGCTGGTGCCCTAGTCGCTTGAGCCACAAGTGCTGAGCTGAACAGACCAATTTCCAGCACTGAGATCAAACAAACTATAAAAAATCTCTCAACAGGGCAGTACCTGTGGCCCAAGGAGTAGGGTGCCAGCCCCATATGCCAGAAGTGGCGGGTTCAAACCCAGCCCTGGCCAAAAACTGCAAACAAACAAACAAAAAATCTCCCAACAAAAAAATGCCCTGGTCCTGATGGCTTCACACCAAAATTCTATAAAACCTTCAAAGAAGAGCTTATACCTATACTGCAGAAACTATTCCAAAAAATTGAGAAGGAAGGAATCTTTCCCAACACGTTCTATAATGCAAACATCACTCTGATACCAAAACCAGGAAAAGACCCAAGTAAAAAGGAGAATTTCAGACCAATCTCACTAATGAAAAAATGCAAAAATTCTCAATAAAATCCTAGCCAATAGATTATAGCTGCACATTAAAAAAATCATTCCTCATGATCAAGTAGGTTTCATCCCAGGGATCAAGGCTAGTTTAACATAGGCAAGTCCATAACCGTAATTCACCATATCAACAAAAGCAAAAGACAAAGACCATACAATCCTCTCAATAGATGTAGAAAAAGCATTCAATAAAATCCAGCATCCTTTTCTAATTAGAACTCTGAAGAAAATAGACGTAGGTGGCACATTTCTTAAACTGATTGAAACCATCTATGACAAACCCACAGCTAATGTAATACTGAATGGAGTAAAACTGAAAGCTTTGTCACTTAGAACTGGAATGAGACAAGGCTGTCCTCTATAACCACTACTATTCAATATAGTGCAGGAAGTTCTAGCTAATACAATCAGGCAAGAGAAGGAAATAATGGGCATCCAAGTGGGGGCAGAGGAGATCAAACTCTTCCTTTTTGCCAATGATATGATCTTATAATTAGAGAACCCCAAAGACTCAACTCCAAGACTCCTAGAAGTGATCGAAAATATGGCAATGTCTCAATGTCCACATATCAGAAGGCTTTGTATATTCCAATAACAGCCAAGATGAGAAGCTAATCAAGGACACAAGTTCCTTCACAGTAGCTTCAAAGAAAATGAAATACCTAGGAATATACCTAACAAAAGAGGTGAAGGACCTCTATAAAGAAAATTACCAAATCCTAAGAAAATAAATAGCAGAAGATATTAACAAATGGAAGAACATACCATGCTCATGGCTGAGAAGAATCAACATTGTGAAAATGTCTATACATCCCAAAGCAATCTATAGATTCAATTCAATCCCTATTAAAATACCAACATCATACTTTCAAGATTTGGCAAAAATAGCTTGATGCCCATAGCACCGAGGCTGGTGGGTTCAAACCCAGCCCGGGCCAGCTAAACAACAACGAAAACTGCAACAAAAAGATAGACAGGCATTGTGGCAGGCACCAGAGAATCACTTAAGCCCAAGAGTTTCAGGTTGTTGTGAGCAATGATGTCACGGCACTCATACACTGGGGGAAAGAATCCCTATTCAATGAATGGTGCTGAGAGAACTGGATAACCACACGTAAAAGACTGAAACTGGACCTGTATCTTTTTCCACTCACTAAAATTGATTCTAGATGGATAAAAGATCTAAATCTAAGGTATGAAACAATAAAAATCCTCGAAGATTTAGAAATGAGTATAATTGTGATGGATGTGTTACTGGGTTCAATGTAAGCATTTCACATTGTACAGTGAAGCAGTACCCTGAACCCCATAAATGCATCAATGTACAAAGTTATGATTTAATACAAAAATAATTTTTAAAAAATCCTTGAAGAAACTGTGGGTAAAACACTTGAAGTTATCAGCCTGGGGAAAATTTTATGAAGAAGGCTTTCATGGCAATTGCAACAATGACAAAAATAAACAAATGGGACTTAATTAAATTGAATGGCTTCTGTACATCTAAGGAGACAACAACCAAAACTTGATTCGGACAAAAACTTGATAACTAGGATCTAGGGAGAACTCAAATTAATCAACATAAAAAAGCCAACAATCCCTTATATCAATGGGCAAAAGAGTTAAACAGAATCTTCTCTAAGGAAGATAAACGGCTAACAAACATATGAAAAAATGCTCATCATCCCTAATTATCAGAGAAATGCAAATCAAAACCACCTTGAGATATCACCTAACCTACCTTCCTTCCTGCTATCCTTCTTTCCTTCCTTTTTTTTTTTTTTTGAGACAGAGTCTCACTTTGTCACCCTTGGTAGAGTGCTATGGTGTCATAGCTCACAGCAACCTCAAACTCTTGTCTTCAATGATCCTCTTGCCTCAGTCTCCCAAGTTGCTTGAACTACAGGCCCCTGCCACGAGGCTCGCCTATTTTTAGAGATGGGGTATCACTCTGGTTCCGGCTGGTCTCCATCCTGCAAGCTCAGGGAATCCACCGGCCTCTGTGGATTTTTACCCCTACTTCCAACTTAAGCCCAACTCAAATATTTCCCCTTAACCAATTACATAAGACGCCAGCTTCTAGTAAGCTGTCCTATAGCTCTCCCAGGCCAACAACTTCCGATCTGGGCATACCCCGAAGGCTTCCCTTTTGTTCCATTATGAAGCTTTCCCAGTCTGCAGCCTGAGTTTAAGTCGTCTGTCAAATGCAAGTGACTGGGGCTGACTCCCTCGCTATAACAAGTTGTGAATAAATAGCTTTTGCTTGTTCTTATTTGGGTAGGCTTCATTTCTTTGTACAACTCGGTTAAAAACAAACAAACAACAACTTCACGTCCTGGCACACTGTGTAATATTATCTAATTATCTCTTTGGGCCCAACTGAAAAACTAGTCAAGTACTTTTAACAAGTATTCCTTGGCAATTAAAGAAATTAGTCCCCCAAGAGGTTGGGGACAGGCCATCGGACGGATGTTCGAGGTACAAAGATGGGAATGTCAAGAACGTGTAATCTGCTCCCTGGGAAAGTAGAAACTAGGAAAGAGAGACAGATACACGAATAGGCGCAGTTGAATGAAATATGTGCTATCAGCATCCATACACACTGGGACGCAGCGAGGAGCAAGGAGAAGAGGTGATCTGATTGCCAGAGGAACCCTCTTCCACAGCCACCAGCTCCCGCATCCCCGATCCCTGAAGCGGCGCCCTGGAGCAGTGGTGTCTCGACGAGAATCAGACCGCTCTCTCCTCCCTCCCAGGGCATGAAAGGGGGACCACAGAGACGCGGCTTCCTCCACCATCCTAGAGCAGCCGCGGCAGCACAAGCGTGGTTGCCTCCACCACCCGGGTACAGAGGTCTGGCCTGCGCACAGCGCGGGAAGCCCGGCATGGGGCTGGCGGGGACCACAGCGTCCCTCTTCGGCCGGGTCCAGAACGTCTCTTCCCTTGCCCTGGGCAGCCTCCGGTTGGGCCCGGTGCGCGCTTGCTGCCCCGGAGGGCGGCCCGGGCCATGGCCGCAGCGACCCTGGTGAGCTGGGTGCGGCTCGGCCCTGACCTTGATCCACTGCCGGGACTGCCCGCGCCGGCCTGGACGCGCCGGGTGAGTGCAAGGCCGGCGCCTGGACGCGGGCTCGGTCCTGCTCTGGGCACCAGGCCTAGAGAAAGAATGGGACCCGGGTTGGTGGCTGCTGGGAAATGGAGGTGGAACTCCGAGTGGATGGACCTCAAGGGCCAAGCACGGGGGGAAGTGAGTTCGAAACCCCAGACCTGAGCTGCTCAGGAGGAAGACGTGCTGTGACAAGGGTATGATCCAGGTGCTGGGGCAGAGTACTTCCAGAGCCCTGTGGGTAGCGCTGAATGGCCTGAATTTCAAAGATGCTGGTTGTACCGAGCTGGTTGTGTCCCAGCTGGTTGTTAGGACCAACAGGAGTTTCCAGGCCCAGGAGGGAAGAACTGGATATTCAGGGAAGACCTGGATCTTCAGGTGCAGGGGCACAGATCTGAGAGAGGAAAGTTTAGTTTCCCAACTGAGTGGTGAGAGTATAGTGGGTGAGCATAGTGGGGCAAGTAAGCTGGGTCTCTGAATAGTGAATGGAATTGTCTGCAGTGCAGAGGAATTTGGACTTCATTAGGTAGATAAAAGTGAGCTAGCCAAAGTCTTTGAGTTCTGGGGTGCTGGAGAAATCACTGTGGGGGCTTTGCAGGGCAAGGACTAACATGAAATGGACCGGGGTGGGCTCCTTCATATTGCCGAGACTGAGATCCTGATTGAGACAAGGATTGAGAATTAGAAGTCTTTTTTGGAGTGGGGGGGGGCAGAGTCTCACTTTGACCCCCTGGTTAGAGTGCTGTGGAGTACGTGGCTCACAGTAAACACTGGGCTCAAGTGATGGTCTTGCCCCAGCCTCCTGAGTAGCTAGGAGTACAGGGGCCTTAAAACGCCTGTCTAGTTGTTTTAGACACCGGTCTTGGCTCTGGCTCAGGCTGGCCTCCAACTCCTGAGCTTGGGCAATCCACCCTCCTCGTCCTCCCAGATTCTCACTGTGTCCCCCTCAGTGGAGTGCCATGGCGTTACAGCTCATAGCAACCTCAAACTTTTGGACTTAAGCAATTCTCTTGCCTCAGCCTCCCAAGCCACTAGGACTATAGGAACCTGCTATAACACCTGACTATTTTTTTTTGTTGTTGTTGTAATTGTCATTGTTGTTTGGCAGGCCCAGGCTGGGTTCAAACCCGCCAGCTCCGGTGTATGACACCAACGCCCTAGCCCCTGAGCTACAGAAAGTCTTGATAGCTGTAGATTAGCACTGTTCAAGGAAGAGGTTTGACAGAAAGGAAAGAGGGTGAAAGAGCTGAGTCTCCTAGAAATAAAGGGGACTTTGAGGTTGGGAAGTGGGAAGAAAGCGGGTGGGTTATTTCAGAGAATGTGTTGAAAGTGGGAGAGTGTAGGGAATAGAATCACAGTTAGGATTTACCCTGATGAGTCGTCTCCATGGCCCTGAGTGTCCTGAGGAGCCCTTAGCTGCCTCTTTGTGATTGGGAAGGAGAGAAGAAGAAGAGTCCTATACCAGGGCAGCAAGGGTGGCAGGAGGGGGGACTTGAAGGCAATGTGCCATGATAGGAGGAGCCAGTGAGTTAAGTAGGCCATGGTTCTGTCTCAACTCTGGAACTCTGAGAAGTTAACCACTCTGAGCTTCCTCTTCTATAAAGTGGATCTAATACTCTCTTTGTAAGGCAGTGAGACATAAAGTTATATATATATATATATATATATATATAAAGTGTTTGGCACAGGCTCCATAGTTGTTATCAAGGGTTACAGACCTCTGAAGGAGGACACATTGTAGAGAAAGTTTGGTACCTGGAGTACAGATGGTGGTTTGGAGCATAGGGATGAACAGCAAAAACTTTTACAGAGACTAATGAAAAAGATGAGAGGACGTTGCTGAAATAAAGATGAAGAGACGTGTGAAAATTGATGGCTGATCGCGTGTATGTTTGTAAGTAGGGGGCAAAATCTTCTGGTGGGAGAGTTCCCTTCAACCTTCAGAATCCAAAATCCTAACAGGCATCCCTGCCAGTACTTATTGGTGCCCTTTCTATCACTTACTCCGGCCTGGTCCTGGGATTATCCTAGGGTATATAAACATATGTTTCAGGAGTCAGTGACCTTCAAGGATGTGGCCGTCTACTCCTCTGAGAACGAATGGACCAGCCTAGGCCCTACTCAAAGGGCCCTGTACAGGGATATGATGCTAGAGAATTATGGGGCTGTGGCTTCCCTGGGTAAGGGTCTCTCTCTCTGGGCTCTGCCTCTGCCCTTCAGAGTTTCCTGGATCTTCCTTTTTCAAAGACTTAGGAGTCTTTGGTAATCCTAAGCTCAGTGGCAGCTTTAGGCTCTTGGATTCTTAATGACCCAACCTCAGCAGTTGCTAGAGGTGGGAAGTCCTGGTATCAGTCTGGGCCTCAGGCTGGACTTCCTTGCCTCAGGGTGAGAGCTGCTCAATCCCTCTCCCCTGTGCTGTGGGTGTTTGGGGGAAGAGAGCAGATCCATGGTGCCCCACTGAGCCTTCATTCCCTACCCTCCTTCAGTTTGGGAGATCCAGTCCAATATCAAGCAACTATAGGCAGATGTCTGAACTTGAGGACTCTAGGAGAGAGAGGACGAAAAAGCAGTAAGGACTCAATTCCTCAATGAATGAAATCATCTGTTTGCTGACTTAAACTGTTATTGGGTAATAACTGTCAACTTCTTGACTTTTGTAAGTCTCCTGGCCCATCTCCCCTGAGTCTCCTTTCCTTCCCCTGGACTTCCTTTTCTTATTTTTTCCTAGTGATTCCCTCTTTCCCCCTTTTCCCCTGAAGACACAAGTCTGGGAGGAGCCCTGGGATTGCTCTGTGTCACCCCACTCACCTGCTTGTCCCATTTCCTTGCCCTCAAGCAGCATTTCCATTTCCCAAACCGACTCTGATTGCCCAGCTGGAGTGAGGGGAAGAACCCTGGTGCTCAGCTCCTCAGGGAGCTCTGGATGGAGCGGGACCAAGGGGCAGCTCCGTAGGTAAGTAAGAACACCTGTGTCAGTCATTTGACTGGTTCCCTTGCCTTGATCTTCAGAATGTCATAGATATGTGTTCTCTTAACCTAGTACTGTGGACTCTGGTGGGATTCCCTTCTTTGTCTGTGGGGTTCCCATAGTTTTCCAGCTGCTGTTCTGTTCATCCTGGCTCTTGTGTGTTCCATCCTCTTTTACCTGTTTTGCCTCTTCTCTGTCTCTGCTGTTCTTATCATGGCCACCATTTATCTTTCCTCCCTGATTTTCCTGTTTAATTCTCTGATATGAGGTGCCCTTTCTGCTTTCCTGGCCTGCTTAGTCTTCAAGTTTTGGATAAAAGGGCCATATTTATCATTAGAAATCAAGAAATCCCAATAACCCTCACCCATATAGTCCCTATTACTCAGGTATTGTTGATGAGGGAAAGCCGAGGGATTACTACTTTAGGGCCAACTCAGGGCTTTCTTTCTCTTAGTTTCCTGGTGAGAACTATGCCTCCCTGTTGCCTTCCTGGCTCCATTCCATCTTCTTTGCACCATCTTCTGTGGACACAGTGAGACTTGATCTGTGCCCTCAGTCTCTCCATTCTCACATTTCCTTGCTATATCTGGTAGTCTTTTTATATTAGGATATTCTTTATATTAAAACCCAATTTAAACTGGCTTAAACAATAAAGAGGAATTTATTGTTTCATGCAACTGGGTAGTCTGTAGGCAGAGTGGGCTGTAGGTATAGTTTGACCAGAATTTCAGTTTCTGCTGTTTCCTTGAATGTTGGCTTTGTCTACAGTCTGGCTCCTCTCATGGTTGTGATTAGTAGATGTAACCAGGATTGCTTTTTCCTATCTACAGAAAGAAATAGGGCAGGTCTTCTTGTGAATCACAGTCTCAAGTATTGCTCTAATGGACCACCTTAAGTCATATTCCAGACTTAAATTAGTCATTGTCACCAGGGAAATACTGTGTACTGATTGATTTGGTCTGAATTGCTCATCTCTGGATCAATTTCCCGTGTAGAGTGTAGGATGGGATTAACCTGTTTGGTGTAGACTTGTCAGTGTCTACCCTGGGAATTAGAATTGGAATAAACTGTCCTTTCACCGCCACAAAATTCCAATAGTGGAGGGGGTAGAGTGAATGTAGGAGATAACCACAAGTGCTGTACATTCTCTCAGGATTTCAGTGCTTCCTGTCCTCACCACTCAGGGAATTTCCTATTTTTGCTTTGCTTTTGTCAGAAAACCAACAGCTAAGTTATTCCATAAACCAAATTCTAACTCCCTGACTGACAGCAGACCTGCTCGGTGCACTCCTGTCCTGACTCAAAGTCCCCTTTTGTCTTAGAGAAGGCAATACTCAGGAGATACACTTTCCTTGGCTTTAGCAACATAATAGGTCATCATTTGAAGGTGTTCCTTGGGATGTTTTGGATGGGGGTTACCAAGAGACAGATCTTAGCTAAGCCTGAAGTAAAGTTTATTAGAGTGGACCTCTGTGGATAGATAGAGGTTCCTGTTATAGGGTAACAAGAGACTTCTGGAAATGGCCGAGTGAGTCTGAGAGGCCATTTCTTGTGGATCCCTTAGAGAGACCTTATCATTGATTCTTTGTGGAATGAGAGGTAATAAATAAATGGATAGAAAGGAAGACAACTAAGAGATTATGATTTCCCAGAATAGCCTGCCTTGATGGGAAGTTCTCAGAAACAGCTCTTTGTAATTCCATCCTGTCCTGATTCTTTTCTATGTGACCTTGCTTTAACCTCCTAGGGATAGGAACAGAAGAGGCCTTAGTCTTTCCTAGTTCTTGTTCTTGACATTTAAATATGAATGTTATGTTTTTGATATCCTTGGGAACTGATGGAATCACAACTTCCCTGGACCAATGTTTTCTATCCTTTGTATTCTTGTTGCCTCACACTTCTGGTTATCAGTGCTGCCAATCTTTTCACCTACCTTCATTCTTCCTTTGCCACTTCCATCTCCTTTCCTAACAGGTCTCCCTCCTCTGACTGAGCCAGCCTTATTTGTATCTTGACCCTGGCCGGATATCCATTTCTAATGTCTGCTGGGATCTTCCCTCTTGAGCAGGCAGGAGAGCCACTGAACTTGAAACTTCAAGAAGAGAGTCCAAGCCTAATTCAGACAGGTAAGTGAGAAGGAAATTAGCATTTTATCCTAGTATACATTTTCCTGTCTTTCTTTTGTAAAATGTTAAAAATAATTTTGCCATTCATATTCTAAATAAATGGCCCTCCCAAATCCCCAAATTAACCAATTACTCAAGAGAAAATGTAAACTCTAATCTTCCAGCTTCATTAGGACAAGCTCATCTAATTAAATTAGGATGGGTCTTGGGTCTTGAACTTAAACTGAACAGAAGGCTTACCCATCTGACTGCTATGGTCTAGTGTTGGGAATCACAGCCCTAAGGGATTCTGTCTAGTTTCTGCCTTTTGCTTGTGGTCTCTTTCTATTTGTTAGCTCTGTTTTTGCCATCTTCAGCTAGCACAGGGCCACTAAGACACAGGGAAAGAAGTGGACATATTAATATCACTTGGTAGCCATGGTCATGATAATGATGACATTTGAAACTCTGATTTCTTTTTCCAGAGAGTGTGCTGAGGAAAGTGTGTTCTTTTCCAGAGAGTGATAAAGAACATTTTATTCTGAAAAAGGAAATTTTTGAAGAAACACAGAACCTCATGGTACTGTCAAGTGGACCTTGGTGGTATGGCTCTCAGGGATTCTGATTTGAGAAAACCTGTGAAGAGAAGAAAAGCAGGTTAGGAAGATGGCCTGGCTATCCCAATGGGAGAAGTATGGAGGCTACAACAAATGATATCATAGAGGTGATCGTCAAGGGTGAGATGATCTCAGTAGAAGAGAGTTCAGAGAATACTAACACCAACAACCACCTTGATATACATCAGAAAATGTGAGTGAGCAGGTATTCTATGTATGTGAAGAATGTGGCAAGTGTTGAGCAAAATGATGACTTTGATCACCAACAGAGAACTCGTAATGGAGAGAAGGTCTATGGATATAAGGAATGTGGGAAGGCTTTCAGCTTTAGATCACACTGCATTGCACACAGGAGAATTCACAGTAGGGTAAAACCCTATGAATGTCAAGAATGTGCTAAAGCCTTCGTTTGGAAGTCAAACCTGATTCGTCACCAGCTGGAGAGAAACCCTTTGAATGTAAGGAATGTGGGAAGGGCTTTAGTCAGAACACAAGCCTTACACAACATCAGCGAATCCACACTGGGGAGAAACCATACACATGTAAGGAATGTGGGAAAAGCTTTACTTGAAACCCAGCCCTTCGACATCAGAGAATCCATACTGGAGAAAAGCCTTATGAAGGTAGGGACTGTAGAAAGGCTTCATGTGGAACTCTGATCTTGCTCAGCATCAGAGGGTCCACACTGGGGAGAAGCCTCACGAATGTATTGACTGTGGGAAAAACTTCAATTGCAAGGCACACCTTATCCGACATCAAAGAATACATACCGGGTAAAGACCCTATAAATGTAATGACTGTGGGAAGGCCTTCAGTCAGAATTCTGTCTTGATTAAACACCAGAGGCACCATGCTAGAGAGAAACCCTATAACTACCAGACCTCTCATCTTCTTGAACATTAGAGCGTGCATAATAGTGGTACTTGTTTATAATTCTTATGCTATAGGAACCTCAGAGACAAATTGAGATGACCTTCCACAATTTGCTGTAACCCTAATAGCCAGTATTATCCTGCCTCTGCTCCAGAACAATACCATGTACTGTAACAAGATTAGATCCCCTGTTCCACTGTGTTTATACTAGGCACCATTTAGTGGAGCACCTTTTCTGTGTCAGGTACTGTGAGAACCACCTTATGTATATGCTTTAATTTTCATAACAATCCTTAAGGTCGATATGTTCCCCATTTTACAAATGAGAAATATGAGTTTGAAAGACGTTCTAAAACCCATTCAGTGTTGGGGTAGCACCTGTGGCTCAAAGGAGTAGGGTGCTGGCCCCATATACTGGAGGTGGCAGGTACAAACCCAGCCCTGGCCAAAACCTGCAAAAAAAAAAAAAAAAGCCATTCAGTATTACTCAACTAGTAAATTATAGAGTTGAGATTAGAGCCAGGCTTGACTCCAGGAAGTCTAAAGTTATTTATTTAATTGTATTCCTTATGCCTCTGCCCATTTTTATTTGTCTAGGTTTTCCTGGGCTTGTAGTTTCCCTTCATCATCTAAGGCTCAGTTCCTTCAGCTAAACAGACCTCTTATCCTCTTCCATTTGTAGTCAGTATCACCCAAGTTAGTATTTAATTATGTGCTGTCTTATATTTTTCTAATCGTCTCATGTCTCTGAGTCTTAACTCCAGGTAAAAAGTTCTTTGAGGAACGACGCTGCATTTCTTTTATGTTTTTCAAATTTTGAAACTTATTTATTTTTGAGTAGATAACATGCTCATGATAAAAAAATGGAAGTAGTTCAAAAGGGTATTCAGAGAAAAGTAAATTCCTTTGTCATTATTGTCTCCCAGGTCTCCAAGTTCTCTCCCCAGGCAAACACAGTTACTGATTATGTATCTTTCAGGAGGTGTTCTTTCTGTACATATATTTATTAATAACTGTTTTCCGTAAGCCTACGTCACTGGCAATCTTATTTGATCTAGGTGACATTGCAGTTAAATTGCCAGCTCTGAGATCTTCTCTTCCTCAGAAGCCATGGGCCTCCTTGAGTTCACCAAGGGAACATTGGGAAGGCAGTAGATGGTAGTCCAGGTTGTGCAATCTTGGGAGACCTGACTGCTCTTGTGTTATGAGATAGCACTTTGAGAATGAACAAATATAAACCCAATTAGAGATTTTTTGTTTAACATAAAAATATATGAAATATATAGCTACAACCTCTCATTATACCACTATCCTAAATCCTTTCTGAGTCTATCCCTCACTCACCACGATAACCTGTATCCCAAAATAACCTGTGAAGCCATCACCAAGGGAGGGAGAACAGGTCACTTTCTGGTGATGGTTAACACTCTGTTAGGTAACCATGTCCAGTCAGTAGCTGAAAAGTTCCCACAAAATCCACTATTTTGGCATTAGAGTTAAGCCCTTCCTAGATCCAGCATCAAAGATCAAACAAATGCTAGAAAGATGTACCTCCTACATAGGAAAGTAAGGAATTCCAAAATTATCTAACTCTACATAAATCAGGAGTCTTTAAAACTATTTTTAAAAGATAATGCAAGCTGTTAATACTAATTATGAAGATAGGCAGGATAGGTTTAGAAGACCAGAGGCCCTATTTAGGAGTGAATACTGACCAAAACAGATTTGAAATATCCTTTCTGGACACTTTGCCTTTAGAATTATTTTTTCAAAGAGTGCAATTTGCTTCACTGCTGTTTGTATCCCATTTTATAAGCTCCCAGACAGTTAGGGTAACGTGATAAGCAGTAAAAACTTTGTTGTGTACCACATGGAACCAGGAAATATTACAGAAATGGGCCAGGTGCAGTGGCTCACGCCTGTAATCCTAGCACTCTGGGAGGCTGAGGCAGGTGGATTGGTGAGCTCACAGGTTTGAGACCAGCCTGAGCCAGTTTGAGACCTTGTCTCTAAAAATAGCTGGACATTGCGGTGGGCACCTGAAGCCCCAGCAACTTGGAAGGCTGAGGCAAGAGGATCACTTGAGCCTAAGAGTTTGAGGTTGCTGTGAGCTATGACGCCATGGAACTCTACCAAGTGTGACAAAGGGAGACTCTGTTTTAAAAAAATATATATTACAGAAATGACTTGTGTGAACAAGTCATTATTTATATACAGTATATTATTCTTGCTTAATAACTTTCAAATGTACAGCTCCAGTCATAGCTAACTACATCTCCAGCTTATAATGTACAACTGCTAACTCAAAATTCCTGCTTGCACATCTTGCAAGTAGGGGAATTTGTTTGTTAAGCACATTTTAGTGAGCAATGATAATACTTACACAAAGCACTGTGCCAGATACTGAGTAAACAGTAATTTAGAAAATCTGGTCCTTGTCTTCTCGAGACATTTAGCTTAAAGAGAGAGGGACCAACTGCCAAAAAAATTAAGTAAACAAAGTTTAAAAAATGCTAAATTCTATAAGGAAAATGAACAAGGTACCTAGAAACAGAATGCTGGGGCCCACTTTATATGGACAGCCTATCCTAAGAGGTACTATTAAAGCTAAAGCATGAAGGATGAGAATGTGTCAAGAATGGGAAGAACAGCAAGAAAGGGAACAGCTGTTCCCTGATGTTTGAAGGCATGATCAAGAAACCAATGGTTATCATGTAATGTGTATAGCACAAGTTGAGTTTGAAGAGATAAGAGGGCCAGATCATTTCCTCCTAAATGAAAAGCAGGCATTGAAGGGTATCCAAAGCAGGAGTGACATGTTTGAGTTAAACTTTAAGATGGTCCCTCTGCTAGGTAGAAAATGTTTTATAAAGGGACAAGAGTGAAAGGAGAGAGACTGTGATAGCAGTCCAGGTGGGAGATGATGGTGGGTTGGAGAGGTTGGTGGTAACAGAGGTGGAGAGAAGTAGATGATATTAAGGTATACTATGAAAATGAAATCTGTGACTTGCTAATTAATTGGATACAAGGAATAATAGGAATCAGGGATGGCTTTCTGCAGCAGAGTGAACAGAAGCGCCAATGATTGGAATAGATGAGACCAGAAGGGGACTAGGCTTGGGAGGGGAGACATCTAGAACTCTTATTTTGGCTTAACACATTTGAGATATGTGTGAGATGTGCATGCAGGAATTTTGAGTTGGCAGTTGCATGTTATGGGCTGGAGCTCTGGTTAGCTGTGACTGGAGCCGTACATTTGAAAGTTACTAAGCAAGAATAACATAGTGTATATAAAGCCAGGGGAAGAAATGAATGAAAGCCCCTAGAGAGTGGGAATGAGTATAATCTAGACCCGACTGTCCCACATAGTAGCCGCTAGCCACATATGGCTATTTAAATGTAATGGAAATGTTAGTTTCTTAGTCACCCTGCCCACATTTCAAGTTCACAATACCTATATGTGGCACTCAGCCATCTAATTGCATAGTGTAAATATTGATATTTTCATGTGGCCCCAGAGAGGTTGTAGCAAGATACAAGGACCCTGGGTGGAGTCCAGTCCAGTATTTTGGAAGTTGGACAGAGGAGTTGACCAGCAAGGGATGCTAAGACAGAGCAGCCTGTGAGGGGTTGGCAATTTCCAGGGACACATTATGCAGGCTGCGGTTGAATTAGACTGCAAGGAGGGGATCGTCAATATCCTAAATATTCGTAAGCTCCCAGAGTGAGGATGATGTATGTAGGGGATGAAGTCAGTATCTTCAAATGGGAAGGAGATAGGTAATAAATAAATAAGAGGCTGTGGAAGTGGGACAATGAAAGAGAAGGAAGAATTTGAACCTAAAGAGGAACATCATAGAATTTGGTCAAGCCTGGAAACCCTCTAAGATGGAAATGTCTGTAGGCAGGGTGGCAAAGTAGCAAAATGAGAATTATTAAAATATGGCATAAAGGTAATCGAAGAGGATTAGGAAGTAACGTGTGGCTATGGATGGCCTCTACTAAGAGAATTCCTAATTGGTCTTTTCCTTACCAGAGGCCCAGAGACAGTTACTTGGAAGCCCTGAGGTCATATCACAACCTCCATTGTCTGTGATGAAGGAATTAAAAGTAAAATGGAAGACCTTCCAATTTGTAATGACATTTGCCAATTATCTAAAGGTCAGCAGAATAAAATTAATACCCAGTTCCTAAATTTTAGAGAAATGTAAAGGTGGAAATTATTTTCTGATAAATTGCAATTCATAATATATTAAAATCAAGACTAGATTATGGCAAAATTGTGTTTTCAAAAAATTTAAAAACAGGGTTAAAAAGTGAGGAAATATGAAAATACTATGTAGGTCACTATGCATTAAAAAATCTAGCCAGAAAGTCTTAAGGGAATGAATAATTAAATCCCTTTTGTGTTACAGCCTGGAACCAGCTACAGAGTTGCTTGTTTTAGAAGCAACTCAGTCACAAATTAGTGTCTGCAATTCTGAGCATCTTTCTTTGTGACTATCTGTTAGAACTGGTCTTCTCTCTCTCTCTCTCTCTCTCTTTTTTTTCTTTTTGTAGTTTTGGGCTGGGGCTGGGTTTGAACCCACCACCTCTGGGATATGGGGCCAGAGCCCTACTCCTTTGCGCCACAAGCACCGCCTGAACTGGTCATCTCTTATTTGGTCCCCAGCATCCATTCTGTCTGGGAGCAGTAATGGAGACATTCTTTGGGAGGTAGGCTTTCTCAGCTACATGGCTTGCTCCACCCTAAGTGTGTGGCCCTCATTTGGCTGTGTCAGTCAGTTTATCCTCATCCCCTGGGTCAAGATCCCGGATCTTCTGGAAGAAAGAGGCTTTTCTTCTTTGAGAGCTACCAAAGGAGATATCCCCAGTTTTTCTCTGTGGGCATATAGGAAAATGTGAGGCATGAAACTGTAGCAACTATTTTTTTCTATTAAAAGGGGGAAATTCTGGAGTTTCTAGGTGCTACCATGTGGAGGCTGAGGATAAAGTCAATACCAAAGAAGACAGTGGCAAAACAGAAACTAGGTCCTCGGTGACATCATTTGAACCATTAGACTAAGCCTTATTGAAGCAGACCTACCTCAGAGCTTTTCAGCTATGTGAGCCAATTAACATCTTTTGTCAAACTAGTTAGATAAGATGTTTCTATCTTTTGCTATTTAGCCATACTGATGTGGTCTTGCACTTGAAAGCTCTGTTTTCTCTTACAGCACCTTATCATCACATTTTTCTCCTGCTTAGTAGTTATGCAAGAGCCTCTTTTTTTTTGAGAGAGAGTCTTACTAAATTGCTCTGGGGTAGAGTGCTATGGTGTCATAGCTCACAGCAACCTCAACTCTTGGGACAAACTCCTCATTTTTATCTCATCTCAGTTGCTTGGAAGTCAGTTGACTGGTGAAATAGATGACTCTCATG